CTTCCTGACCTCTGTGCTACATCTAGGGATGATCCTTCTATGAATGGGAATCAGTGCTTTTCCCCTACTGCCCTGAAGGGAATCTTAATGAGTTTCCTGCCTGTTTTGCAATCCAGTACTGTATTTCTGGTTTGCCTGTGAGCATTAGTATTTGTTTGGATTGATGCTTTTGGATGGAGTGGTGTTTGGATACAAAGTGTTATATAGAGACTTTATTAAGAGGTTCTTTCCCAGAAGCAATCTTGTATCAGTTATGGTGATGTGCAGTATGCTGATGGAAGTACTCCTGGGGTGGGAGGAAAGGAGGAAGTCAGTAAAATGAGCAAAGAGTTTTACTGTAAGCAGCCTTCCCCTTCTTTTCTTTCCTCTTTTGCTTCTGTTCTTTATGTCCTCTAATTTCATAGCTCGTAGAGGATGGAGAAGACCAGTTTGAAAGAGAACGTAGTCTGGACAAGGGATAGGAGTTGAGAGCTTTTAAGTTCTCTTTTTGTTTATCTTTTTGGCTTTGTCATGATATATGCTATGGCTTTATGTGTCTTTTGTCATCTTGTCTTCCTGATAAAATGGTGCAGCTGCTTATTTTTTGCTTTTGTCTGTTTTAGTAGCTCAGTGCAGTTAGTGGACTGTGCCATGTTCCTGCTCAGAGGAGTCAACAGCAGTTTGAGTTTCTGTGTTGAAGAGATGCACTGAGACAGCCTGGGGAGCTGAGGAGATTTCCCTTAATAAAAAGTGCTTGGCTAGAATAGGCATGGATCATGAAAAACTGTTCTCTTACTGCATAGTTGAGATGAAATAATTTTTTAAGGAAACAGGTAAAAAAACCCCAGTATGTTGTGGTATTACTTATCACTACCATTTTCTGTCTGCAGGAAAAAGGCCTGCAGTACTCTCTTCTAGACATAATCTTTATTGGTCCTATTATTCCTTATGGACTAGGTTTAGCCCTTTTCCCTGGCATTTCCACTACCAGGATGTTGTTATTTTGGGTATTCTTTTTTTTTCTTTCTTTTTTTTTTTTTTTTTTTAAGTTCTGATCTCATGCTTCAGATTGGAAATAGCATTGGGGTGATTTCTCAAATCTGCTGTGAATCAGACTCATGTTTCCCTGAAGCTGGGCTATAACGTCTGTGGGACTGAGGGTCATAAAAGAGGAATGTAGGATTCATGGTAGAGTCTTTGTTCTGTAATATGGTGCTCCCAGAAAAGTCCACAATTATTAAAGAGAGAGGCTTCTCTAATTTTTCCCACTTCCTTCCAGCTTCTATGCAAGCCCCATTTAAAAAAACCCAGCTTTTTGGACCTAGTTGGTTATTTTCATTGCTTCTGATCTTGGTGACACTATTACTTCTTGCCTCTTTTAAAAACTGTTCTCTGGGAAGCCAAAGGAAGCCCTGGGTTATAAAACTGTTGCTTCAAAGAATGCCTGACTGTTATGTTTTGCATAGCTACTTATAATTGTGCAGAGCAAGATATTGATGGCTGAATAAATATAGAGAAGGCATCCAGAAAGAAACTGAGTCTGTGGTCCTGTTTTCCATGATGTCATGCAGTGGCATTTATAAAGAAACAGAGGTGGTGGGGTCAGATTGCATTTTTGGCCTTCAAGTAGGATGTGATGAGGTATTGCTTCATGAAGGGCGTGTAAGAGCTGGTCAGTAGCAGGATTAATGAGCTACAGACACCTCAACTTTAATTTTCCAAACTGAAGGGGGATTTTGTTAGCAGATTATTTTATAGTAGGAAGTTTTATTGGTTGCTTGAACACTTTTTACATTTGGGGTTTTTTTTTTTTGTTGTTTTGGTAGTGATTTTTTTTTGTTGTTGTTGGTGATGTGTGTATCTGGTGTTGTGGTTAGAAATGTGAAGGAATGACACTATTAGCCATTACAGGGACCCTAGAAAGAAAAACAGACATGTAAACCAAAACCACATTTGCATAGATACATGTGCAAGGGGAAAGAAGACTTACTGCTAGGATAGCTACATTTGCTTGGAGAAATTGAGTGCTACTGGCAAAAGAATGTTGTTTCTAATTTAGAGTGAGTTTCCATAGGAAAAAATTGCTATAATTGCTATTACAGTTGATGCTGACACATTCTGTGGACAAGGACCCAGGCTGGATTTCCTCCCTTCTGCTTCCCCAGAAGTGGCACTGAGCTGCCCTTTGCTTTCTGCTAGCAGGAGGGGGCAGCTACTCTGAGTGTTTCATCCTCCTGGGAGGAGCACAGATGGAATTTTTCCTGTAGGAAGCCCCTATCAGAGACTCAGTCCTGCTTCCTGCCATCTGAAGGTTGGTGCTGATAGTAGTGTTGAGCTGTCAGTGAGCTGGAGTCGTGGCCAGGCACAGGGGATTATTGCAGTTCAGCTACAAACAGCAAGTTCTGCTCATGTTCATCCCTGTGAGGGCTGCAGAAGCTGGTGTCCCTCTAAAGTGACTCTGCTTTGTCTCCTCCCCCTGTTGAGAAACTGGCTACACAGCTCATCTGGCCAGACAGAACTGAGGAGGGATGACTTGTCGTTTTACAGGATGGCATGGAGGGGAGGATGGAGGGATGCTGCTGCTGTCACATCTGTAAGCTGCTGTAAGCCTGTGCATGTCCTGGTTTGGCCATTCCTGTGGTGGCTATACTCTAGGTTAGTCAGAAACTTGAAGGCTGAGGTAACAGTAGAAAGCCTAGAAGGGGTTAGAGATTTTTTTTATCTAGATCAGGGTTGTGTTGTTTTCCAGAGTTCAAAGGAACTTGTGTCAATGGCCTTTTAAAGGAATTTCATGGCAGCAAGGTGGCTACATCACTCCTGATATGACTTGTTATTCATTTCCAGTTCATTAACCAGGGAAAAGTCTTATCTTCTTACCATAATCCCTTCCTCCCTCTCCTTGTTTCCCTGCCCTCTCTCTCTTCCCTTCCCTCTTCTTCTCACTCTTCCCCTATCCACGTGCCTGCCTCTTTCTGTCTCCTGTTGTCAGTGGGAGTGATATTTCCTTGCAAACAGGAAGAGAGGCGGGAGCAGCCCTGTGTGCAGTGTGAATGAACTCCAATAACCTCGTCTCCTTTCTCCTCCTTGCAGAACCAAGGACATCTGGCAATTGGGAGAGAGGGAGGGAGGGAGGAAAAATAAAGGCACAGTCCATTTCAGAATCTTACCCACCCTGAAAGTAGTCACATGCATGCTCTCTTTTCCTCTTGCTCCTTGTGTTGACATGGCTCTCTTTAATCAGACAGAAACCAAGAGTTGAAGGGAAGGGCAAACCCAAAACCTCAGCCTTTGCCAGGCAAGGTATAATGAGAGGCAGGTGAGAGAGATCAGGGAGCACCTGTTTCTGGATGAGGCGTGTGAGCAAGAGAGCTGACTTGCAAAACAGTTGCTGTTGGGGGTGAGCTTTGCAGAGCCTGTAGTTCCCTGGGTGGGACTGGAGTCAGTGCATTCTGTCATCATCTGATTTAAAATTTGGGAAGCCGTATTTCTAAAATGAGGGAGTCCACAGGTTCTGCAGGAAAGAAACAAATATTGTACTCTGCAGATCGTGGACAAGGAGCGGGTTTGGTTTTTTTGGACTTTTTATGTGGAGCAAAGCAGAAATACTTCAGGCTTATTCTGCCCTGTTTTATTGCATTGTGTTTGGTCATACAGTTGTGCCTTAAGATTCTAATTCAGTTTGCTAACCCATTTATTCACTTATTTCAGTCCTACATGCCTTATGTAGGGTGAAACTGGCTTGAACTCCTGTTGCTACTACCATTGTTTGTTTATAATAGACACTTCACCTACAGAATAGCTAAGTCATATTAAGTTCAGATTCATAAGTGTCCATGGAACTGTCTGTATTTTGGTTGTAGTTATAAGGTCTAATCCTAGAAGGAAAGTTATGGAGACTTCCAGCTCCCAGAACTTAGCTTTAGGGTGTTTTTCTGTAATAGGAGCCAGACTTTTCCCTTCAGTGTTCTTTTAGAGATACTGTCTTTCAGAGTAACACCTTTCTTCTCTTCCCAGTACTCTTTCAACCAAGTGACATACATATGTTTATTTTAATCTTTTCAGTTAGTCACTTCTGCTGTTGTTCTCTGAACTTTGTGGTGGTTTCCGTGCCTGACCTGGGTAGGAGACAGCGTGCCTTGTGTTGAGAACAAATGAAACCCAGTGAGAGCTGGATGCTGCAGTAAGCCCACTTCAAAGGGAGAGACAAATGCCTGGGCAAAGACCATGCCAGGAATCAGCAAAGTTATGGGTAATAAAGGAGTTGGTCAGCAGCAGGAGTAAAACCTAAAGTAAGGTGGGGGACAGGGGGAGAGAGGCAGGCTTTGTAAGTGAGCTAGGGAGGGAGAGGTGGCAATTAAGACCCTTAATTTGAGGGCAAGAGACCAGAATGCAGCTGCGCAGCTGGGAGTGACTTGTAGGACTCTTCTGCATAATTGTCAATGGTGGCAACAACTTAAAAGGCTTACAAAGCAGTGCTACAATCTTGGACTGCTGCTCATGGTCAGCTGAAGCTTAGCTGGACAGCGAATGAAAGCAATCAGGAGGCTGTGACTTTTCTTTATCAGCTTGGGACTGACGGTGGCTCGCAAACTCTTTCCAGCTTGTGGTTGCCTTTATGCTTCTGGGAGATCAAAATGGATAATATGATTTCAAACTCTGTCCCTGTAGTTCTCTGAGAGAGGGATTTACAGCAGGGCAACTGAGCTAATCTGTTCCCTGAGTGTTGCAGAACTTTTTTCCATTCTTTGTAGACATACTCTTCAAAGTCATTCTTCATAGTGTCCTGTTGCACTGCTTTTCACATTTTGCATTTTTGTGATTTGTCTCTCCCACTGTCAATCTGAAGTTACTATTTTTCATGTGAGTTTTGATAGTTTTCACATGTAGTATTACTTCATTTTCAAAGCGACAGATTAATTTTCTGTCTTGAAAGGTACAAGGTGTCTTTTTCAACTTTTTCCTAATTGAAACGTGTCATATGTATACTTTTGCCTCTCTCATAGACCTCCTATCTGTTTCAGCATTTTTTTGAGAAATGTGATGATGTAGAGGGAAGGAAGAAGAATGAGCCAACATGAGCTGGGAATAATCTTTGTTTCTCTGAAGCAGCTACAAGGTAGTACCAAGATCCAATGGAAGATTTGTGAAAATAGTCTGGCTGCTACACCAGGCACAGTATAGGAAAAGCATTAGGTCACAAAATATGGTTACTCTGTATGAAAGGATTGGAACAGTGATGTCTCTCAAGGGGCTTAGTTCTCTGCTGGTGCTGTAGAGTCCTGTGAAATCTCAGTCTAACTGGTGTTGTTCTTTTTTCTTGGCCACGCTTGGCCATCTGCAGCCAGCATTTGATAGCCAATGTAGCATTATCACTGTGTGAGTTATGCATTTAGGTTTCAGCAGAGGTCATTATGCACTGCCGTGGGCCCAGCTTTCAGAGATAAATGCTAGCAGCCAAAGTGAATCTATACTGCATGTCAGAGCACACCTAGAAGCCAAAATGCCAAATTATATCCCTGCTTTAGTTACCTCTGAAAGATAGCCCTTCCTGTCAGTTCTATTTGTTCACCAACAGCCTATTAAGGCCCCTGCAGAGAGGTGCTGTCCTGTTGACACGCAGTGAGCACAGTCATGTTAGCATATGTGTGCAAACATGAGGTCTCTTCCTCATGATGCTGACATGCTGCAGAGTGGCTGCTTGTGATTCATTACAGAACTGAAACATAGCTATATGTTTGCCTTGGCAGAAACTGTAGGATATTGTAATTTACAGGGCCAGGACTGCAATGAGTAAATCCTGTTTTGAAACATCACAGAGACTTGAACAAACTTTCTAAAAAGCTACTCTTTCTTCAGAGCATCCATTATTTGGAGGTAAAGGGCTTGTTGTACTGTTCCTCTGATTGTTCATGTGTTACACGTGAACAGTGAGTTTCTTCAGAGATGTGCTTGCATCTGTACTGGTTCCTGATCCTTAAACTCCTCACAGAAAGTGCCAAAATAAGAATACCAGGGAGAGGACAGCATTCTTTAGCAGAAGGCTCACACTAACTGCATTTGGTTTCTATATATTCTGTGCTGCTCAGTGATATCTCATTTACTGACCTCAGTGATCTGTAGCTTAGTCTGTTGATGATGGGTCAGATCAAAGTCTTCCAGAAGAATGTGTAAGTGCTTCAGCTGGCTTAGAGGAAGACTCAGCTGAGGGAATGGGATGAGATTGTTGCTGGACGAAGTGATGAATGTTTCTGACATTCAGCATGAGGTACAAGAGCCAGGGCTGCCATCTTTAGTCTCTGAAAAAGCAGTACTTTGTTGTAGGAGTGCTGACCTGGAGACCATCAGTATCGGAGTTGTTCTGTTTTCTCAGAAAAGAAGGGGAGATGGAAGAAATGGAGTAGGGTGAAGCTGATGGCAGCACATTTCAGAAGTGTTTAGTGTTACATTTGAGACATGGGTGGCAAGGGCTAGCAGAAATTTGTTTCCCTCAGCCTTTCATCTCCATATGTTTCTTCACTGGAGTATGTCTGCTCATCAGGTTACTCTCTTCAAGATGCTGCATTTGAGAGAAGCAATTGCTTCATCATTTGTCACATGGCCAGTCCTGGTTTCTGAAACTGAAGGAGTTGAGACAGACAGTGGGAGGCAGCATAGCTGACTGTGTCAAGAAGACAGTGTTCCCTCTTGCAGTTAGGGCTTGCATCACCTTTCTGCATTTTTGGTTGAAGTGGTGGTGCAGATTGGGAGGTGTGAATCTCTAATAACATCATTATTAGTACAAAACTTGGCAAGATTTTTAGTCATATAAAAACAATCCTCATGCATTTCTGTGAAAACTAAGCCTCAGGCTTGTCACATAGCCTCTCACTTGTGTGCATGTGAGGAAGATGCTCAGTAGGCTTCTTTACCTAGCACCAGAGTGCTGCTGTTCACTGTAAGGTCAGTTTTTCAGCCTGCAAGTGTTATTATTGCACCTACAAAAGGATAAGTGCTCTGTCTTAGGAGCAGAGAAGACAAGTAACCTTTTCTATCTGGCCCATTCTGTTTTGGGAAGGTTGGAGGCTAGTGCATGAAGCAGAAACACATTGGGTAGTTCTACAGTGCAGAAAGTGGCTTCTCTGTTGCTGTGTCCTGGATGTGCACATGGATTTATAATCCCCTCTCTTGGTAGCTTGCAATCTCTCAAGACACTCCTTTTTGGTCTCCAGATGTCTTGCTGACAGCAAGTTTCACGCTTGCAATGTCAGTCATTGTGCAGATCACACAGTTCTGAAATCCCATTAGACTGTACCCTTCTGTTGTTTTCTGGAATAAGTTCCAGTTGAGGCAGGGGTGCACTAAGAATGGGTCGCTGTACTGGAGGTCTGGGCCTGAGCCCTGTTACTCAGTCCCTCAGATGGGTGATCAAACCCTTCCTTTGAAAAATTGCTGCAGTAGTGCTGCTGGTGATTCATTCTGCACAATAATTAATCTTTGAGTGAGTCTTTTGCGTGGTTTAAAGGAATGTGGAGATGCAGAGGCTTACTCTTAGCTTTCTTGTTTCATGCCCAAACATGTCCAGAGACATCTGTGTCAGCATTGCTGAGGAGCTTACATAGGACTAGGAATACAAATTGGGTTTGGATTTATTGCAGTAAAGTTCCCATCTCCATCTGATGCTCTATGCTGCTTCCACAAGGTTTTCAGATTCTGCAGGATTTACTGGGGAGACTTTTTTAAAGAAGTTGATTGTGGTAGCCACATGGATCCTTTGAGGACCATGAGTTTCTTCAAATTGCTTGCAAATCACATCGGTTAGGTTGTACTATCCCATAGTAGGACTTCCTTCTGTCTGTAGGTTTAAGTTTCATATTTTCCATCACTGCTTTTATCCTAAATAGTCTGTTTCTCCAGCTCCCTTAGGGGGAGGGGAGCTCTGAGTTCCTGATGCAGTCTGAGGCTGTGTTTACAGATGTCACGTGAATTAATGTGCCCTGTGGGTTTTAACACCTGCATCCACAGTGTAATTGGAGATGACAGGATCTCAGCAGGCCTGACAATGTGACTTGCTTTTATACTTGATGCCTGTTTCAGAATTCTGGGAGGTGGTTCATTTTTAGAAGCATTGCTTTCATCTTTGTTTTTGACATTCTGAGAAAAGTTGTGTGGTCTGGTCCAAATACCCAGGAGGAGAGAAGGGACCTGGGACAGTGGTTTTCTGCCTCTTCGTGGTAAGCACTTGAGTGTGTGAGGCATGCCCCTGCTTGCCTGATGCTCTTGTTTCTGAACTGCTTCAGAGCTTTCTGTCACCTCCTGCCTTTCAGGGACTGAAAGGCTTCCAGTCCTGAACTCAATCATTCAAACAGGCCTTTCACGTAGTTGCTTTTTAAATCAGTTAATCTCTTTAGCTTGCATTGGTAAATCACTGAGTTAAGATCAAGTGACGTTCAACCAGCTTAGGGGTGTTTACATTAGCAATTTACATGAGTTTCACTGAATCTGTGCGATCTACTGAGTCGGCTCCTTTCTGTGCAGGTGGGGCTTTTTGGAAAAAGTGGTTGGATTTGCTTTCCAGTTTCAGATTCTGTAGTGGAGTTAGGGCTCTACTAACTGTAATGAAGATGCTTTTCAGTATGGTTTCTAGGTTCCACAAAAGGGTGTCCTCAGAAGGCTGCTGGTGAATCCATTTCCTGAGAATGGCATCATGGCCATTTCCCATAGGGGGGATGCTGGCTTTCAGTTTCTTACTGTAGGTGAGGGGAGGATTTGTCATCCTTATCTTTGATGCATCATCGACCTTTGTCAGTCTTCAGCTACTGATACTAATATGGAAATTCAATGTTTTGTAGTCTGCTAAATAGTTGTTTGAAAAATCTCTTTTCCAATTTTCTATATGCTCTGCAATGCATGCACCAAAATTCAGGGCAGCTGGCAGCACTGAGCTATTTGTTACTGGAAACTTTAACAAAGGCCACTGGTTATAATGTCAGGAATTTCCCTCTTACACACTTGGAGAGATCAGGGATGAAGTGCACTGGTAGTGTTGGCAGTAATGAAGTCGCTTTGATAAATCTGTTGGCAATGAAATAATAGTTTTGCACCTGGATATGCTAGTCTTGTATCTTTTCCCACAGTTTGTTAAAATACTGTGTTTTAAGAGTGGAAACATTGATAAAACAAAGCTAATTACAGAAATGAAATCTTGAAGCTTGCTTGTGATACAGCTTGTAATAGATTTTGGAAGTTAATAGTTTCAATAGCTGAACTCTTGCCTCTTTTGCATCTGTTTGTTTTTTCCACAGGTACTTCCTGACTTTCAGTAGTAGAGAGAAACTAAGGACTTTGAAGATAGATGCCTGTGGCCCCTTGCTAGGCAGAAACAATGCTGCAGCGATGAGATTATAGTGAGCCCTTCTTGTGTGGCTTCCATGGGTCCCACTCAACTCAGCACACAGGATCATGGGAAGAGAGTGGCAAGTGTATTGGAAATGGAGGAGGAAGGGCTTGCACTCTTCCCTGGCTCAGAGAACCCCCCTGAGCATGCAGGTATGCAAAAATTCTCACTAAATCTATGCAAGATAAAGACTATCCATTCTTTCAGCTGTAAGTAGCATTGCTACTTGGCAAAATTTTAGGACAATTTCTACTGTGCTTGAAGCACTCAGAGATGATGTCTAAGAATAGAGTCAGTTATTGATAGCTGAAGACTGGGTTTATCTAAGTGATAAATGCGTTGAATATTTTGCTTATTTGACCTTCTAGAGACTAGGTCCATGGCAGTAAGATAAAGATTTTTTGGGCTTACCAAAAGCTGCTGAACAATAAAGCTTTACTACAGGTGACAATCCAACAAGGGTAGGTGGTGCAAAGAAGTGATAGGGTTTTGCAGGTTGGTGCAATGGGAAGACAGTAGACATTTCTCCATGTATTTCTTAGGTTAACTGAGGATGAAGAGTATCAGACATAGAACTGAGATTCTGTAGTTAAAGCTGCTGCTGATAGTCACAATCCTACACTTTCAAACTGTAAGAAGACTGTATAATATCTCTGGATAGGTAATACAAAAAAAAGGAAAGCGTAAGTGCATAGGATCATCTTCTTAATGAAAATATGACAAATTAATGTGTTTGCTCAGCAGTGAGGCAATGGGCAATCTTGATATGAAACAAAGAGATAATCTGAACCTTGAATGAGGATTCCTCAGTGGAGTAGAAACAAAGAGAGTAGTTAAAAGGGGATATGAGATTTTTCAATAAAAGTCCTTAAAATGGGTCTGAGGACTTGAAAAGAAAGCAACTGATAGATTAATTCCTTATGAAAATGTAAGGAAAAAAGACACAAAATGTGGAAAATATTAAATAGGGAATCTAAAGAGGAAGGAGGACCCTAATGAGAATTGAAGGTTCAGAAGTGGCATTCATGCTTTCTTTATACATCTTACATTATTTCTGTAATATCTTTGACTACAGAAAATAACAATAATCATCTATGTAACTAAAATAATTCTTGCTCAGAGATGGAAAGTAATTTGCATAGATCAAAGAATAAACCTATCTGTCTCAATAAAGCAGTCATAGAAAATGTAATAAAAAATTTATGTAATGTCTTAGAGACAGCTAAGAAATCCAAAAGAGGGACAGATTTATCTGTGGAAGTCATTGGAGTACTCTGATGTTTCTCAGAAGCATATGAACATCACTTAAGGCTTCAGCAAAGTTGTTACACTAGTTAGTCTGCCATTACATGTGTTTATACTAAGTAATCTGAAATAACTGTAAGCATTGCATCATTTTTACTTGGTAGTGTGTGAAAAGAAATGTAGTTGAACAAGAGAGAAGAATATCAGAAATGTAACCTTTCTGATGACATTTTCTTGCTGTCCAATCTACAATGAGAAGTGCAGGCCAAATTGAGTTACCTCCAGGCCTCTGTAAAGTCAGTGGTATTGAAAATCAAGACCAAGATACTTATGGCTGGAGACTTGTATTGAGGAACACAGATAATAATGTCTGAGAGTGACCTAAAACTGGTTACCGTTTCAGGAACTTGAGCATAATAGTAAATATAAACACAAGTAAGGATAGAAGTATTGGAAGAGTAAGTAAAAAAATGAGACATGCAATTGTAACCCTGATGCTGGTCAAGAAATGCAGTAGCCTTTTTCTTCAAACTAAGCAGTAACTCCAGTGTAAAGGCTTTCCAGGCATATCTAAACATTATCTGGAGATTTATCAAGATATGCTGGTTGTAATCTTTATAACAGCTGCCATGAATCAGTAATATCTGACACTCACAAAAATACCTGCACTATGAGCTGTGTAGAGTATCAGATGTCAGCATAGCTAGAATTAAATGGATAGAAAAGAGAGAAGGCTAATAGAAGGGGAATACACATGTAATATCGGCAAGCATTTGACTGGAGTGCTTAAGGTAAGATGTGTTGGAGCAGAGCAAAGATGTTTTCAAAATGCAGAGCCACTGATAAGATTAAAATCTCTCAGAATGTTATAGGAGGAGTTGGGAGCTGCTGCACAAAACCAGCTGAAATGTGAAGCAGTAGTGAAGGTCCCATATTTGAGATAGAGCAACAAGCTTTAGTAAAGGAACTGTCACTATGAGAGTGTTTCAGCTTTAGGAGTGGGAAGCGCCCTTCTTGAAGAGGAGATGCTGGCTTCAGGATTCCAAAGGCTCCCAGAGCTTGTAAAGTGTACTGCTTGTGTGCTTATTGCAGCTAACTACACAAGCTGCTGTCTCTGTTTCAACAGTTTTCCCAAGTGTTCAGTTACAGGGATTGTCTGCTCAGTCTGGCTTTTGTAGGGTCACAGTTTCAGCACTGGCTTTCTGTCACTACTGAATTGAGGAAATATTTTTCCTTATTCTTGTCCATATGTATGGCAGAAAATAGAAGTAAAAGAACTTGAGGTGAGTTCTGAAGAAATTTACTTTTTGCACAGTCTTGGATTTCAACTCAACTTTTTTATAGGTCTTTCTCACATTAGTAACATAACTGTAATTGGAAATTGCAGAACACTTGGCCTCAGTGTGTTTTGGCTCTTTCCCTCTGTTGTGGAGAGGAACAAATGTTGAAGCTATATTTGTTTATATAGTTGAGGTGAAACCTTGTGGATTATGTCAGTAAGTTTGTTGCAGAAGACTTGTTTGCCCAGAAGGGGTGTGTGGCTGGTAGATAATGGGTTTGAGTGAGGATGTTAGTTGTCAGGGATGGGGCAGTCAGCTGCAAACACCACACTTCCTTCATGTCTCTGAGTTTACTTTTCTTTTTTTTTCTTTTCCTCGCTACTGTTCATTTCGGTAGAAAATCCCCCCTTGAAGCGGAAGAAGGGCCCAGCCCCTAAGATGCTGGGAAACGAAGTGTGCAGCGTGTGTGGGGACAAGGCTTCGGGCTTCCACTACAACGTGCTGAGCTGCGAAGGCTGCAAGGGCTTCTTTCGCCGCAGCGTCATCAAGGGCGCACAGTATGCCTGCAAGAACGGCGGCAAGTGCGAGATGGACATGTACATGCGCCGCAAGTGCCAGGAGTGCCGGCTGCGCAAGTGCCAGGAGGCCGGCATGCGGGAGCAGTGTGAGCACTGGGGTGGGGATGGCACAGCTGGGCTCTGGGGACCATGGCTGTAAGGCAGGGGCAGTGCCAGTGCTTGGGGAGGGGGGACAAGGAAGGCGTGCAGGCTGAACATTGGAATGTGTGTGGGAAGTCACTGAGAGCTCAACAAGGATCACTTGGGGAGATGAGGCTGTTAGTGGAACTCCAACACCCAGCCCTGCTTTGTTCCTTGTAAGAACTTCTGGAATATACCAGCAGAGGAAAGACTCACATGTTCATCAGGGTGCTGTAAAGTGTGTCAGGCACATCAGGCTTGTGACCAGGACTGTAAGATTGGTCACCGTGCTCCTTGAACAACAGGCACTTTTCTTTGCTTCCTACTGTGAGCTTGCAAAAGAGGTCAAGGGCAGCACCACAGTACTGCAGCTGTGTTTGTGCATGAGCTAATCTCATTGCTCCCTTTAGTGATCTCTGCTATTTTTCTCACGCTAGCTATAAGGCTGCTGTTTCTGAATATTCACCAATATTCCTGCTTGCATATCAGGAACAGCCCTCTTTGGCCAAGGTTTCATCCCTTTACTGGTCAAGACTGACTGAAGGAATCCTCAATTAAAGTTCGATCTGTGTGAAGTCTTCTTTTTTGACAGTCAGCACCCAGAACAGCTAGGAACAGTGGGTGTTTCAGAAACAAAAAATAATTTTGCAAAAATTAAGTGCCAGTGAGCTAGGAGACATGCTGTTCAGTTTTTCAGCATGAAACACAGCACTTCATATATCTTTGTCTCACTGGTTTTTATCAGCATTATGTGTGTTGTCTTTACCCCATTTCCCTGTTTCCAAGAGATACAAAACAGATGTGTTTGAAGAGCAATGTAGTAAGACCACTTGTTCACTTTGGTTCTCTTTTGTTGCAGGTAGATACAGAGAGCCTCAGTATGTTTCTGCATTTAGTCATTGTTTTGTGTTGAAGACAGCTCAGGAAAATTAGGTCAAATGGAATCTTGGTGTTATTATCAAGAACTTGGCAATACTTGTTGATGCTGTAATCCCCACTGCAAATTTGCCCTGTTAGTTTTGACAGAAACTAAGGGCTTTTTCCTCCAGCTGTTTCACTTACAAGGTCATTCCAGAACTTCCCCCCTAGTAATTGCTGGAAACATTCTTCTAATTCCCAGACTGAAGTTATTCATGGCCAGTTTATTGTTCTTGAGCCAGTGTGAACCATGAGGTTAAATAATTCCTTCCTGACAAACCGAGTAAGTTAGATTGCTTTGAATTTAGCATGGTGTAGGAGCTTGCTCATAGGCAGTCTTTAAGATTAATAGCCAGGTAACATGTTACCAGATAAAATTTTTTTTGTGCTTTGGAGTCCCAAGATGAGGGACTGTAATCACTTGGATCAATTACTTCCCTTCTTAAACTGACACTGTAAGTAGCATTCTCTAATCTTATAGATCATCCTTATTTTGGTAATTGTATTGAATGCCTTTGCTGTTAGAATTGTAAATTTTGTGTATGGTGCATGTACTTGTGCACACATCCTCCCTGTTTGAAGTCAGGGATAAAAGTTACTGTTCTTTGTCTATCTTTCCAATCCCAAGAATGCTGTCTTACAGCAGCTGTCCAGTTCTTGTCTTTGTTTAATGTGATTCTGTTAAGAAGTACAGTTATATACCTGTTCAATTTTAGGGCCTCCTGCTTTTCTGTATAGCAGGTATAGAATCGTAGAATCATCAAGGTTGGAAGAGATCTTTTAAGATCATTAAGTCCAAATGTCTACCCAGCAGTACCACTGTAACCCTTAAACCACTAAACCATATCACCGAGCACAGATCCAGGTGCCCTTTAAACACCTCCAGGGATGGTGACTCCACCTCCCAGGGCAACTTGCTCCAATGCATGCCCTAACAAGGAAAATTGTTTTTAATACCTAATCTAAATCTCCTCTGTCTCAGTTTAAGGCCATTTCTTCTTGTCCTCTCACTGTGGGCATGGCAGGGGGAACTAATCCCCCCATCTCATTACAACCTCCTTTGTTTTCTGTGTTATCTGTGAATTAAAAAAATGGCCAAACAATCTTTCAGCACTTCTAAAGTCTTATTTTTAAAGTCAAACTTTGTTTATTTATCTATGTTCCTGAAGATACAGAGGGTGTTGGTTTTTTTTTTTTCAATCAGTTATTTTCTGCTTCCCTTCCCTCCAGAGTGTCAATCACAGCACAGAGCCTGGTGCTGTCAGAGTCTTGCTGAGGCTGCACTCAGTCCCACTGTCCATGTCACCAACAAAGGTGTTAAACAGTCCCAGCACCAACCCCTGGGGAACAGCACTCCTCACTGATCTCCACCTGGACATTGAGCCATGGGCCAGTCTTTGAATGTGACCATCCAACCAATCCAAGTGATCTATCTGTCAAATCTGTGCTATTCCAATTTAGAGACAGGGTTACATTGCTCCTGAGCTTGGAGGAGGCAATCCTTGAATATTAACCAGCTTTCTTGGGCCCCTCTTCCCTCCAGCACTTTATCTGATAGTACTCTACTGAGCAGATCCCTGAAGAGGCCAGAGTCTGCTCTCCTGAAATTTAGGCCAGCCAACTTGCTGTGCACCCTCTCTCTGTGATGCCAGTATGATCACAGCTGTGCAGGTGTGTGCATGTCTCTTAACTCCTCTTATTTGTTCCCTATGCTATGTGCATTTGCATAGTGGCATTTAAGTTGGGCTCCCAATGAACCTGACTTACTGTGGCAGGAATTCTGTTGTGCTGCCCTTCAGGTGCTCTCCCGTTGACCTGCATACCCTCTACAGGCTCTGGGCATCTCTTGCTGGCCCTGGCATTAAACTGGTTTGGGAGAGGAAAGGGATGGATTGAGGTTCCTGTCCCTAGGCAGCTTTAGTTTAAATCCCTCTTTGCTGCTTGACAAGCCTACGAGAAAAGATGTGCTTCCCTTTCTCTGACAGAGGGACCCCATCATCTCTCAGTAGAGCAGATGCCTTTGAGTTCTGTTCCTTACAGTGTTACATCCAACTAACATCTGCCCTTTGACTTAACAACTGAAGGAGACTTGTAACCCTATTCCTGAAGGACCTGCGGTTGGTCCTCAGTACATTTATGCCAAGTTACTCTTCCATTATTCATCTTGGGGTATCTGACTGCTCTAGAGTTTGCTGCAGATGGCCTGTATAGCAAATTACCTTTTCACTCTCAAACTCCACTCAGGGCTGAGTCTGACCTTTGAAGAGGGTGAAATGACACAAGTTGTTAAATTAACAATATTGAAAAAAGACATAACAGTGGGATAATATAAAATAGGGTGGACACACTGGCATATGAAGGGAGCATCTGTTGTAACATGACACTTAGGGAATTGCTTTATGGGAAAAGTCACTGTTGTTTTTCTGAGACCTGCAGGGCATCATGAGGGGAGCTTCTGCCTTTTGTGAACACTTTACATAACAGTATGATTAGAAGAAAGGCAATGAAACAACTTAAAGAAGGGAATAGAGAGAAAAACAAATAAGTATCACTGTTGACTCTGTTGTGTACACTCTGCTATGCCCAGTACAGGCAGCTCTGATCTCTGCCTCTCCATCCACAGCACATTACCCTGTGTTCAGTGTGGTTTCCACTGTGTTCCTATGATTGATCATGAGCTATTCCTGCTTTAGATGTTCTGTCTGAAGAACAGATCCGACTGAAGAAACTGAAGAAGCAGGAAGACGACCAGGCTCGGACAGTTGTGGTGCGTCCAAACCCTCCAAATCCACCAAGCCCTTCCCACAAACTGACGCCGGAACAGCTGAGTATGATAAAAAAGCTTGTGGCCGCTCAGCAGCAGTGCAACCAGCGCTCCTTCACAGACAGGCTCAAAGTGACGGTAAGAACTCTACCATTGTACCCAAAATAAGAAAAAGTGGAGTTTGGGGAGTTGCATTTTAGGTAAAAAAATTGGCAGAACAGAGTTGCTTTAGACATGGCATCTGTGGGCTAAAGATCTGTAAAGAATAGCAAAAGATGATATTCTGAAGTTGTCATTTTCTTTCCTTGTTCTCTTCATCTTATCTTTCATCTTTGGCTCCATCTTTCACAAATATATGCTGTCTCTTCCCATTCTACAGCCATGGCCCCAGATTCCTGATCCAAATAACCGCGAAGCAAGGCAGCAGCGTTTTGCTCACTTCACAGAACTTGCAATTATCTCTGTGCAAGAGATCGTGGACTTTGCCAAGCAATTACCTGGTTTCCTGGAACTCACCAGGGAAGATCAGATTGCTTTACTGAAGACATCTACCATAGAGGTGAGGGTTTGACTCCGCCCCAGATCATAGCAGCAGAGATAAAAGAATTTGGAGTTATCCACCCAGAGAACTAGTTCTGTCCCTTTTTCGAGGATGGCATACTGAGGGATCTGAGCTGTGGGACCATTACTGCAGTGCGAGCTTATATTGGCAAGAGGCCTGGTTATATACTGCAGTGCCTGGTTATACAGGAAGGGAATGAGGCAAGTGCCTTGGTAGTGCTAAGGAGGAATTTCCCATTTCCCAGAAGCAAGACACCACAGACTTTATCTTGGAATTTTTAAGCACTCTGAGAAACTGGAGTGGTTTTGTTTGGTGCTTGTTTTGTTTTGTGTTTTTTTCCAAAGATGCTTCAACAGTCAGCAATGTATTGATGTTGTAACATTTCTTCCTGCTTTCAAAGCAAGTATATCTTATTCCTGTCCTCAGGTGATGTTGTTGGAGACATCTCGGCGCTACAATCCAGAGATTGAGAGCATCACCTTTCTTAAGGACCTGAGCTATAATCGGGATGACTTCGCCAAAGCAGGTGGTGCATTAGACAGGTGTTTCTTCCTCCCTGCTGTCTTGTGTTCTTAATATTTTCCTTTTTAATGTGGGCAGCTGGAAGTAGTTTGTGGTGAGAGGTTTAGAACAGGACCAAACCAATAGCCTCACAAACGATTTTTTTTTTTTTTTTTGCTTTTAATGTACCAGCTCATTTTATGTCTTTTTCTACATGTCAGTTTGCTTGGGAAAATCTGGACTCTTAAAGCATAAAAATATTGCCACCTAGGACTGGCAGTTGGTGTGAAATTCCTTGCTTGTAGAAATGTGACATGGTGGTGGATCTGTATCAGATCATACCAATCTAAACCACAGTCTTCTCTCCTTTGCAAGTGTGTCACTTGCTAATCTGGATGGACGCATAGAGTGCCGACATTACTGTGATTACATTTCAGTTGATGCAAAGTTTGTGCACTGAGGATCGCCAGAGACTGCTTTAGACACTTTATCATCCTATTATATGGTAGCCTGTGGTGCTGTGATCTCTGAAGTGTATTTTGCCAGGAGCTATGAGTGTTTGTAATTTCAGATGCAGTAACAAAAAGTGTGTATCTTCAGCATTTCTAAAAACAAGACTTTAGCCTGTGCTTCAGCTGATTTTTTAAAATTTTATTCCTTGACCAGCTATTTAACCATTTATACTTGAGATGGCCTGTATATACAACTTTTCTTTATGACACTTTTCCTGGTAGCCTTTTCTTTGGGTTATTGGAAAGGCAAAAAGCAGGAATCCAGAATTATTCCCTCCACTTTGTTCTTCCTTCTCTGATGCATTTGTAATGCAGGAAATTAGAAACTTGGATGCTATTTTGGAGGAAAGGCCTGAAGTTTTCAGTATGATTACATAGCACAAAGGGACCTGATTTGACAGTGGTCTCTATTACGGCTATAAATATCAGTGCATTTCTGTCTGACTGCATTTATCAAATGAGGTGATTGGAAGCCTAGGTCAGACTCTGCCTCAGGTCTCCCAGTTCTTTGAGCTGAAGGAAATGGCATAGTTCAGAGTTCTTGCAACCGCATATTTTCAGCTCATACATGCTTTAGATGAAGCAGAAGAGTGGAATTAAAGCTTTCTTTGAAAGCATGAAGGCTACTGGTGTGAAGGAGGTGATGCTGTGAGAGTGGACAGTATAAATGTTGTGCTTGTGACATTCTGATGTTTTGATGGACTTATCTGATGGCTGATGTTGTGTTCCTTTAGCGTTGCCCAGTAATGTGCTGTGGGGCATTTAAGGCTTTAGGAAAACCCAGAAATAGTTTCATTTTACAGATAGAATCTGAATTCTCAGCCACTGTTGTTGGTGCTCACCAGTAGTGGATGTAAAGCGAGGATTCATTAAAGCATAATGTAAGGGTTTTTTCCCTGCCTGTCTCTCCTTCCCACTCTCTGGTGTATAGCAGTGGATTTCTGGCAGCCTTTTCCGTGAAAGGGAGGGGGAAAGAGGGGAGACAATTGTTACTGCCTCACCTTGTTCTCTTCTGTTTGTTGCAGGTCTGCAGTTTGAGTTCATTAACCCCATCTTTGAGTTCTCAAAGGGAATGAATGAGCTACAGCTTAATGATGCTGAATATGCACTTTTAATTGCCATCAATATTTTCTCTGCAGGTAAAAAGCCAGGAACACCTGAAGAGCTGCAGTAGTGAGTCAGAGGGCAAAGGAAGTAGAGTGAAGGGATGTTACATGCAGAAAAGGAGTAGTTGAGCGTGTATAGAGTCTAGTGATAAAGGGAGCATATTGTTCACTATATTCTGAATTGTCTAGTGCCACTTCCAGAGGAAATTTAATTCCTTACTACTGGAAAAGTGTGCAGAAACACCAGCCAGTACTTATCTTCCTCATTTAGAAATTGGTATTTTACTGCCCCCTTCATGTCCTTGGCACCTCTCTGGTGTGATGCAGGTCCCACAGCATGAGTGACATCTAGTGGGCAAGCAAACACACTCCTGACAAGAGGCAGTATCACTCCCGGCCAGGACTGGGCTTTGCCAAGAAGCCACCTCTACTCTTCTGTCTTGTGACCTGATTAATAACTGTTTTTCTTTGTTCCTGTTTCCTAACTGGCTCAACTATTGGAGAGACTTTCCCATTTGCTTTTGAATAGGTGGCTTCACATATTTTCTGGGACAGGAACATGAGACCAACCAGCACTGTGTAAATGTGTTGGTGAAGTTTTAGGAAGACACCATAGGAGGAAGTGGGGTTAGACAGAGATGTTAAATCCAGTGAAGCTGCCCGTGGCAATCTGCTTATGTCTACTCTGCTTACTTGTAACCTGCTTTTTGGCAGACCGACCGAATGTGCAGGACCAGTCCCTGGTGGAGAGGCTGCAGCACACCTATGTGGAAGCACTTCATTCTTACATTTGCATCAACAGACCAAATGTAGGTGCCTGACCAGAACATCTCCAGGGATGATGCAAGCAGATTTTGTATTTATGCAGGCAGAGTTCCTGCAGTATTGTCTCTAACAGGTCTCTTGCTGCCTGTACTGTCAGATTTGTCTCTTCTGGACTCTTTGATAGCACCTGTAAATGCAGGGTTTGTGAGCTGTCACAATCTGCTGTCCTGTATCATGTTTTATAGTTTAGGCAGCATGGAAAGTCTGGAGTTTTGGGACATGATGTACTTCTTGTGTTCTTTCATACTGCATCCTCCTGGAGAATGCTGGGTCTAGAGGAATTAAGGATTGTGATTACAGTGTAATGTAATCAGTAGTGGTAATTTTTTTTTTAAACAAAGTTTTATATGAATTTACTAACAGCTGTCTATTTGGCCCTGCAGGACCGTTTGATGTTTCCACGGATGTTAATGAAGCTGGTCAGTCTTCGGACATTGAGCAGTGTCCACTCTGAACAGGTGTTTGCCCTGCGGCTGCAGGATAAGAAACTCCCGCCCCTGCTCTCAGAAATCTGGGATGTGCATGAGTGACTGCATGCTCCCAGGGCGCTGACATGCTGACATAATGCCATCTCCCAGCCTTTGCTAACGAGAAGCCAGCCTCCCCTCTCCAAAGCACTGAACCCTGGGCTGGACATGCAGGGAGTGATGAGCCTGGGGTTTCAGTGTTGTCATGAGACTATGCAGGAGGCAGCTGGGCTAGATCAGATGGAGGGGTTGGTTTCGATGTAGTGCCCATACCCCAAAGGAATAACATGAAACATTCGAAAACGGTAGAAATGAAGACCTTTCCCCTGCCCCTCAACTCCTTTTTCTTCAGAGTCTTTCTCTTCTCTTAAGCATATGCTGAGGGTTTGCCCCATTGATCCTCTTCTTGCTGATTATGAAAATGAATTTGCAGGAACTTGCCAAAAGCTCTCTGTTGAGAGTAACCCAGCTCAAAAGGCTTCTGCAGGGTCCCCAGTGTACCTGGATCTGAGGAGCTCAGGGAAGTCAGTGTGGATGTTCTAGGGGTTTCACTGGGTTTCCTATAAATAAAATCTCTTGAATGTGCTGCCCTTTACAATGATTCCAAGAGAAGTAGCTTTTATTTCTTTATTATGAGACTACATCTCTAAAGCTGCCCTTTACTCTGGCCCTCCTTTGGAAAAAGGATTCCTGTAATGTGTAGTGCCCTTTGTCTAACAAGGAGGTCCTCTGGGTAGGGAACATTGTGTATCAAAAAGATGTCAGGCATAAAGTAGTGGATTTTTTTTAACGTAATGCATCACAGTTTTATCTCATGGCAGTTCTCAGCTCAATTTACCTTTGATTTGCTAACAGCTGGACAACTTTAGTTCAAAACAAATCAGGGCATAGATTTTATCTTTAGGGATGAAATAGAAGGAAGATAAGTGGGTAGGCCTCGTACCTAGGTAATGGGGGTGTGGTGGAAGAATCTCAAAAACTTCCAAGAATCTGGAGCATGTGGTATGTGTTCCAAGGTGGGTGTGAAGATGTATTGACCAAGGAGAGAGGACACACTGCATTTAGTGAAATATGTGAGCACTGCATAAGCTGTGGGCTGCACAACTCTCAGATCACAGGCTGCAGGAATATTGGATGTAATCAGATCCACTTGCATCGTCTTCCTTTTGCCAAAGTCTTTCCAAGGTACTTGCTCAAGGTTTCAGTGGTGATCATGGGATATGGAGATCCCTCCTGTATGAGGAGTGCCAACTCCTTCAGAAGGACACTTGGGTCTTGTATCCTTTCGTCACTTTGGGCATTGTGAGATCCACACTGGATTTATGGCCCAAGTTTTAAGTATCCACATCCATAAGTATTCTAGGATTTACAGCAATATTTTGTCTGGCGGAATAGAAATATACTGTTTTAAACATGTTCCTTATTTTCCAAGAAAAAATCTTATGGCTGATCTCAGAGATGTAACCTTAAATATCCTGGTAGCTTGGTCTCATGACTCTTCTCTGTCATAGGGGTCTATGTTTGCTTGCCCGGTGAGCATCCCAAGAGCATAGGTTCACATGGCTCGGGGTTTTTTTGTCTGTCTGTTTTTTGGTTCGTTTGTTGTTTTTTTTTTGGCTGTGTATCTGAGCGCTATGCCCGTGGTGAGGGTATCGTGTCCATTTTGCACTTGAGGTTGGTCCCCTGCCACTGGCCTTCACTCTGCACCTTTGTAAAGCACTTGTAACAATCTGTAAAATAATCTGTTGTTTTTTATAACTCATTGCAATTGCAAAAATTCTTGTTTAAATCTGTATTTTTAACTAATCTGTTTGAGAAATGTTAATGTTTATATAAAAGAATAAAGCCTAATACAGGATTTTGACATTCTCTGATGCGTTGTCATGAGACTGGAAGAGGGTGGAATAAGTTCTTGTTGTAACAAGCTCAAAGCTGATAAGAAATTATGAGTACATGTGTTGGGGGAGAAACAAGAAGTGTCGAGAAAGAAATAGCAGTGCAACCCCAGGCAGTTTGTTTTGGCCTTCGGTATGAGATTTGTAGCTCAGTATGTGCCTTGCTGTGTGCCAGAGCTGGCAAATAGCTGAAGTGGATTAAGTGTGTATCAGGAAGACCATGCATTATGCATACACTCGTCACCTTGATTTGTACAGCTGCATTCAGAATGTAACCCTTTCATTGTGTGTGCTCCTCTCCATTTCCTGCATTTTGTGGCTCACCGAAATTGAAAGAATCCAGTGTGCCCTGGCTGTCAAGTGGATTTCAGTGGGGCCTTACCTGACCCTGGTACGCTGCTCATTTCTGATGTCTCCATAGGCAAACCACCAGGAAGAGCTGAACATGTGCATTACCTCAAAGGGAGCGGCAGGATGGGGGAAAAGCAGAGAGCTGTCCAGCATTAGCTGCTTCTGAAATGCTTGATGATCCCCTGCCCCAATGGGAAAGGAAAGCAATGGTCAGTTCAGCAAGGTTCCACACCTCAGGCTGTTCTGTTGAAGCCTCTAGAGTATCAAATTCCAATTGGAATCTACTGAACCAGAGGAAGAAGGAATAGCAGTAGGCTTACAGAAGACTGGAGCAGGGTAGGAGATGGGGAGTAATGAGCAGAGCTGAAGACCTCATCACTGCTGGGTGGATTAGAGGGTGGCTGGGCCCTGCTGTCAACAAAAGAGCTGCAGCTTAACTTCCAGCTTTATATTCTTTGGGCTGCATCTCCTTAATTTGAAGAGAAAAACTGCATGGGAATTTGAGGGATTCTCAAGGTGTACAACGTATAACATTGCTGTGGAGGGCAGTGGTGAAAACAGTGATTTCTCTTGCCTCTGTAGTGGTTTAACCCAGACAGCCACCAAGCCCCACACAATCACTCAGTCACTCCCCAGCAGCAGGACTGGGGAGAGAATCAGAAGGGTAAAAGCCAGAAAAGTCTTGGGTTGAGATAAAGACAGTTTAATAGGGAGAACAAAAGCCACACACACAAGCAAAGCAAGGACTTTCATTCACTGTTTCCTGTGGACAATTCATTAATTCACTGTGAATTCACTAATTCACTGTGGACTTGCAGGTGTTCAGCCATCTCCAGGAGAGTGGGGCCCCCTCACATGTAATTGTTATTTGGGAAGACAAACACCATCAACTCCAAACATCCCCCTCTTCCTCCTTCTTCCCCCCTTTATATACTCATCTACATGGTCTGGAATATCCCTTTGGTCAGTTGGGGTCACCTGTCCTGTGTCTCCTCCCAACCTCCCATTCACCCCCAGTTCCCTCACCACCGTGGCAGCATGGAAAGCAGAAAAGGCCTTGGGCTGTGTGAGCCCTGCTCAGCAATAACAAAAACATCTCTGTAATATCAACCCTGTGCTCAGTACAAATCCAAAACACAGTCACTGTGAAGAAAATTAACTCTTCCAGCCCAAACCAGCAGGATTTTCATTATCATGTAGTCAAATACAATCTTCTTCTTTACATCTTCACATTCTCACTTTTTTTGAAAGTGCAAATCAGTACAGAACCTTTTTTTCTTTGTCTTTTAGAAGCTTCGCAGGTTAGCCTGTTGAGTTCAAGTAAGCAGGTGTGGGGGAAGAACCATCTGTGAGGTTGGTGACCCTTTTTACATTTATGTTTACAAAATGCTATCTCGGCCTGAGATTCAATCCTGCTGCTCTAAGTCTCTATGCCTGATCTATCTCATATCAATTTTGCTGATTTGGCTGCTGGAGAAATCTTGGGATGTTTGAATTATAATCCTGGGAAGTGTTCCTGGTTGGCTGTACCCTTATTCAACATCTGTATCTGCTCATGATACATTCAGATCAATGGGGAGGGAGGAAAGTTATTTCTGAAAACCCAAATCCTCTACAGTGGGCAAAGTATAGATGACAAATATCAAAGAGTGTTTCTCCATTTTGCACTCCAGATATATAAAAATTGTGAGTTACTTGTGGGGCTTTTGGTTGCATTTTGGATTTATTTTAGTAGTTTTGGTTTTGTTAATAAATGGATTTGTTTGAGCAGCATATTGGTTTTTTGAAGCTTGGAAGGAGTTAAAGCTTTATCTCAAGCTTTTAATAACCAAATAATCTTGTAATCTTATGAAGCTGCTAGCAAATCAGCAAGTATGTAGCTCAACACAGAGGGTGAAAGTACACGGCACTGTGTCTCCTTGCCGCAAGGCAGCGTCTTCGTCTGGAGCCGAGCTTTGCTGCGAGGCTTCAGCTGCTGCTTGCCAGGACGAGGTCTGAAAGCACCAATTCGAGCGGCCGAAGTGTTCCTGGTTTTCTGGACGCCTGCGCAGGAGAGCTGCGTCTCTCCACGCTTCCTGACACCCCGCCTCCAATCCCGTCTCCAATTCCCCCTCCATCCCGCCTCCAATCCCGTCTCCAATCCCGCCTCCATCCCGCCTCCAATCCCGTCTCCAATCCCGCCTCCATCCCGCCTCCAATCCCGTCTCCAATCCCGCCTCCATCCCGCCTCCATTTTCCCTCCAATTCCGCCTCCATCCCGCCTGCCCCTCCGCGGCTGCAGCGCCCCCTGCGGGCGTCTGGCGGGGCGGCTCCCCCCGCCCCCGCCGCGAGTGGTTCGCTCCGCCCGCCCCCGCTGCCCCCCTGCTCCGGCTGTGGCGCGCGCCGCCGCCGGCGCTCGATGCGGAACTGGGCGGGCGGCGCAGAGCGGCGGCGGCGGCGCAGGTGAGTGGAGCGACCCGACCGGGCGGGGCCCGGTGCCGGTGCCGCAGGCGGCCGGGTGCGTGCACATGTCACAAGCGGAGGCTGCCGCACCGACCCTACGTGTGGGTCGGGTTGGGGAACGCGGAGCGCGGCCGGCAGCGCTGCCTGCGGTGACCCGCACCCGGACAGCTGGCGGCGGGGCCCCCCCGTTCGCCCCGAGCGCTGCCGCAGCCGCCCGGTCGGGCGCGATGGTGATGCTCGAGAGCGGCGAGCCCTTCCTTCCGCAAGGTCACGGCTGGCGGCGGACAGAGATCGTGTCCCCCCGCTGCAGGAGCGGGGCCGGCCGGGTTCGGCTCCATCGTCCCGGGGCTCCGGTGGCGGGCGGGGCCGCGGTGTCCCGCTGTGGCCGCGGGCTCAGCCGGCCGCTGTCGGCAGCAGCCCCTGCGGGGTCGCTGCGGGTTTCCAGGCGGGACTGGGCCGCTGTGGGAATAGCGGCGTGGCCGGCGGGCAGGGGGCTCTGCCGCCGGCGGGGCTGTGGGCGAGGGGCCGGCGCCCTCGGTCCCGGCCACCCGGAGGCTTTTCCTCGCTCCCTGCCGGGTGGAAGCGGGCAGGGTGCTGAGGAAAGGGAGAAAGCGGCTCAGGGCGGACGGAACCCCTTGGAAAGGGTGAGGCGTGCAGCCGTGTGAAGGGTTGCTGCGGTAATGTGACTGGAAAGGTGCTTTTACTCCTTGGTTTGTAAACAGCAGATCCTGTTACTCTGCAAGACAGGAGAGTATTTCCTAATAGAATAGGAAATCCACTTTATACTGGGCAATTTCTTGTGAAGTCGACTATAAATCAAAAACATTTTCCTCTCAGAAATGGGTGTCACCACCTTGTTGTGTTGCTCGCTTTTATTGCCAGGTGGAGGAGGGGAAGAAAGCTTGGTCTGTGTCACTGTTTGTATGGAGTCACGATAAAGAAGTGTTTCAAGAAATGATAAGCTTTGAAGGAAACTGATTTGTTTTCTGTCTTTCTTCTCTCTCTTTCCCCCCTGAACTCCTCCATATACCACACTGTTTTCAGTCATATGTAAAATAACATACATTATAAATTTGCAGCCCCATGGAGATGGGGCAGAACTGTGATCTGGCAATATGTTGTGCTCTCCCTAGACAAGCCAGCCATTTTCTCTGTGTCCAGTGTGACTCTGGGTCAGCATTTCTGTTGGTGTGCTCTCAAGTGTCCTTGCTGTGCTCCTTGCACCATTGCTTATCTGCAAAAAGGATGCTACTTGTAGACACAAGCAAGAGGAGGGAAGATTTATTGTGGTGTCTTGAGGGTCACATAATCAAAGTCATCCAAATATAGGTTCTTTGGGAAGTGTCTTTATTTTTGGACTTTATACTGCTTGGACCCAGGCAGCTGTTTTGGATTGAGCACAAGATGCACTTGCTGTGTTCAGCACTAATGAAAAACTGCAATCCTGACACATCCAAGAGAGCACTTCACATCCAACACAGCTAAAATGCAGTTTTTACAGGATCTGTAAAAAAAAAATCTGGCCATCCCCTCTCAGCATGTTATGTAACACTGAACTGATAGATCATTCAATCTATAAAATACTATTTTTGCATTACTGTTGTATTGTTAGAAAATGCACAGCTTTTGAACACAGTTTAATAGACGCTGTAATTAAATGCACACTCGTTAAGTATCTTACTGTGTGTTTAAATGCAAAATCATCAGCAAGTCTCTAGAATGCTTTTGTTTGGAGAGTAATATAGCCTTGTCCTCACTAAAAGATCTTGTAGCTCCCTGTCCAGTGGTGCTGCAGTTGTATCACAAGTCTGGACTCCTGTGTTCTTACCAAATTAACAGGTTTCAAGCTGTAAGCTTCAGAGTCCTACTGCATTGCTTTCCGGGTTACTGCTTTTAAAACAATTCTAAGTTTACTGGATGGGCAAAAAAGTAAAACAGTATCCTCCCTGAAAGAGTGTTGTCTACACAAAATGCATAAAATGGCCAAGATACAGTTCTAGGATGTGTGTTATGTGCCAAAGCTGTGAAAGATGGTGAACCAAAGGCTGTGTGGAAATTGGCAAAAAAAAAAAAAAAAAAGCTTCTGGTTTAAAGTTTTCATGGAAAAACATAAATATATACTAGAGGGCAAACCTCTTCTTCAGCCATGGTACCATTCTGTAACTCTTTTGAAAACAAACA